ACACCCGGGAGCATAAGAGATCAAGTATCACATTTTTATTGAATATATAGGCCTATTTTGTGGGGTGTCAAGTCCTCAGTATTTAGCTCCTAATGCCCGCTCCCCTTCTTTGCCAGTTCAGTGTCATCTTTCAACAAGGAAAGAATGCAAACTACTACACATCATATAACATGATCCCCTCCTTGTCGCGTATGGGGAACAAACACTTGACTTAGGGGAAGGTCAAGCTACAATCCTGGCCTTGTCTTCAGTTCATCTGTCAGGACACCGCAGCGCAACAAGACCATTTAAAGAAAGGGTTTAAAAATACATCTGCGCCCTCGAGACAACACAAGTGCCTGCCTCGAAAGACCTGGAGACACCGATCTGATCACCTGCTCGCTGCGGATTCCGCGTCGGACAATAGAAAGTTTACGGTTCTGCAAACAAATAAACCTTTACTGAATGTTTAGGGCTTCAAACGCTTCCCGCCGTGTCGCGTGGGGCGCTGGAATAGGTGATTTACTACGGTCAGAGACATCAGAAGCGTTCCTCCTGTCAGACGCCGACAGTTGACTTGTCAACAGCGGCGGCTCGACCTCAACATAAAGCTGTCTGTGTCTTCAAACCTTTGACCTTCAGCTGCACAGGGAGCAGACGACGGGGTCAGCATGCGGGACCCCTCGCTGACTGGTTAGAGCGTCAAAAATGCAGCGACGCAATCCGAGACAGAGAAATGTATGACCAGTGAAAGTGCTAAAAAAAACAAAAAAAACAAATGGACAGAGGACAATTGATTGATGACGAAGGTTAAAGTAAAGAAAAGGGCTATCGTCTTTACTGTGTGTTTGATCAGTCGGCATTTGAAGTTGAATTGTTTACACGAGAAAACCTGGACGGTCGAGGAAAAACAAATGACAGGATCAAATTGGCAAGCCAGGATTTTTCTTGAATTTTTGCTGCCCCCTGAGGAGGTTTGGATGAATCAAGAATGTAAAAAATTTTTAATTAATTGTTATTTGGTTTCATTTACTTAAGCACAGTAGATATTCGTTGTTTATCAAATAGTCAGAAAGGACAGGAAGCTGCTTACATTTCTGTCAAGAAAACTAATACGACTCATTGACTTCACTGTAATATTCATAATAAGTGTGAAGTGTAGTCGCTTCCTCAAAGGTTCATTTTGAACCACAAAAA